AACTGTCATGGAGAAATGTACCTCTACCAGGGAGAGATGAGAGATCTTCCCACCTCCACACACAAGCAATCAAACTTTTTTTCTTTTTTTGGCAGTACTGAGAGTTGAACTTAGGCCCTTTCTTGCTAGGCAGACAAGCTACCACTTAAGCCACTCCTCCAGCCCTTGTTGTGTTAGCTATTTTTGAGATAGGGTCTCACTTGATGCAGGCAGGCACAGACCACGATCCTCTATTTGTACTTCCCCTACAAAGCTGGTATGGCAGGTGCACACCACTGCACTCAGCAGTTGGTTGAGAGGGGGTCTCAAGAACTTTTTGCAGGGCTTGCCTGGAACCACAAACCTTGTGACCCTCCAGACCTCCATCTCTCCTTGAGTGACCGTGCTGGCCTCAACCTTATTCTTTCTAAAAGCAGGATGGCCTCTTAGTCGGATGGACAAGGAACACACAGCACCACTTATGAAGTGCTTTCGTGTAAAACATGTTACCTTAATCTGTATTCTAGATGCAATTGAGGAAACACAGGGTTCAGTGAAACGACTCAAATAACACTTAGACAACTGTAGAATATAGTCATTTACACAACCACCATCCAGGACTCCTCTTCCAAGAGTCAAGAGTCAACAGTATTAAAAACTAAAAAGAGAGAGAGAGAGAGAGAGAGAGAGCATGTGAAGATTCGTCTAGAAGTAAAAATGACTTTAAAAATATAACCAATGATGGATTTAGCTCAGTGATAAAGTGCTTGTCTAGCATGTGTGAGGCCCTGAGTTTAATCCTCAGCACTGGAAAAATAATAGGCCACAACCAAATATAATGTATAGATCTTGGTAGGATCAAATTTTAAGAATTTCCTCTATAAAAGATTTATGACATCTAGGGAACAGTGAATATGGGGTGGATAGCAGATATCGGATGATAGTATGAGGTTATTATTAATTCTGAGGTGGCAATGGAGAAGAGTGTCCTTATTCTTAGGAGACTTAACTGAAGTATTCTGGAGTAAAGGGTGGTGCTGACTGCAATCTTTCCTCAAAAAAAAGCAGAAGAGATAAAACAAATGTGGCAAAATGGGAACAATTGTTGAATGTAGGTAGAGGGCAGACAGGTGTTTGCTGCATTATTTCTCATCTTTTCTGTATGTCTGACATTTTTAAAGATAAAAACTGGGATGGAGTGTGGAGAGATGATCGTGAGAAAGGCCGTGCGGATATAGCACACTGGGAGGCCAGCTCAGCATGAGAGAAAACACAGGGCATTCTTATTTGTGATTAAGATATCAAAGCTGGTGGACAGTTTGTGATTTTACTTTTTGGGCCACAGGAAAAAAGCTTCACTTCTCAAAGCCAGTACTGTTTTAGTACCACACAGACCTTTCTCCCAGCCTGCTGGTCCCCTGTATCTGTAACAGGAAAATAGGCAGGCAGATTTATCCAAGCTGTCAAAATGCTTGTTTTGTTAAAAGCCAATTCTGTTCACACTTTAGCCCAGTACCCTGACTGTGCATGGTGAAGGAGGCTTGAGTTTGCTCTGCACTCACAAGTCCTGAGAATAAACATCCCCAAATGCCAACACACACACCCAGGTCAGCGCTGACCTTTGGCTGACAGCTGGGTGACTCTCCTGCACTGGGGCAGTTTTGTTAGGCTCTAGGACCGTTCAGCTCTGTTTTGTTGTGACTCCAGTCTGAGTGACTTCATCAAGTCACAGACTAGAGACAGAACCACCAAAACAAGAGGAACACTCTGCCTGGCAGGCAGATCATGACAGAGCCTCTGGTTTAAAGTGTTTTTTTTGTTTTTGTTTTTTTAATGCAGACACCCAGTTGCTTTCATGACTGGGATCCCAGAAAACCCAGAGTGGGAAGTAGTAACCTTATAAGCTGAGATTGCATGGCTTTCTTTGCATAGAAGGTAATTTAGCTGTAGCCTCTGGAAAGTCTACCAACTTAATTAACAAGATGATGTTGACACAGGGACATGCTGGCAGATGGTGGTATATAACATGTAGCATGAAGAACAGGCTACATACAGGACCTGGCATACAGGCTCTCAACCATCTGGAGTAACAGTACACAAACCTGCACGTAAGGCAAGAAGCCTATCAAAACAACATGTGAGAAATCTGAATACCTCTCTCTACAGAATTAAAATGTATGAGAAATCTTCTTCCTCTGCCATGTGAAAATCACAATAACGTATGTAGAAAAAAAGTAATTTTTCTGGGTAGAGAGAAGTGCATAAACATGTTGGTCTGAAGAGTCACTGAAATCAGGGATGTGAACTGAGGAAAAATTTTATCAGTTTGTCTGGCAGAGAAGTGGGTCCATCATACTAGAGAGAGCTGCCCAGAAGGAAAACTGAACAGTCCTTGCCATCAGAACTGGAGAAGCACCCAAGAGACAGGCACTTGAGTCTACTGCCTTAGAGGGCACAAGCATTTGGAAGGGGAAAGATAATGACCTCAAAGACAGAAACAGGGACTATTAGTTCAAACTGCTCAGAACAGTCTGATTAGCATTTAAAAGGAGCCAGAGGTAGATGATGATGGGAATGATGAGGGAGTGGCCTCACCTTAACAAACCAAGTCCTTTCTCCCTCAACAGCTGTCATGAGCCTGGCCCTTGCCTCTGGCAGCTCTGCCAAACTGTCAGGCAGGCTCTGTGACCAGAAGACAGTCTAACAGCAGGAAAATGAACTTCCTTGAGACTCTCTTACTTTTTTTTTTTCCTCCCCAGCAAAGTCTATTCCAAAGTGTAAGGCGGTCCCTTGAGGATCTCCTCTTCTTACTAGTTCAAATAAAACAAAATAAAAGCCCTACAGTTCTATGTCAACAGGACCAAGGAAGCTGAGCCATAAGAAAAGCACTTCCTAGCCAGTGACATGTCCTCATCTAGCTTCACAGTCTGGTCACCTTGGCCTGCTTTTTTAGCTTTTAGGTAGGGAGGATAAGGCTCTTGCTTTCATCTCCCTTTCTGACCCAGTTCTGGCCTTCCCAGCTCTTCTCCCTGTCACCCTAATCAACATGGTCCCAAGACTTACTGGCCAGTTCCACAAATTCTATCTACATCAAACATTCCACTGAGCAAGAGTCCATTTTGCTGTCTAGTCTTTGCCCACAGAAAAGTACCAACCAGGCTGGTGGAGGGCTACCAGTAAGAGTGCCTGCCTAGCAAGCATGAGGCCCTGAGTTCAAACCCCAATGACATACACACACACACACACACACACACACACACACACACACACACAACTGCAGTAGAATTTGTACATATGCTCGTGCTGAAGATGAAGTAAAGAGATAATAATGTTCCTAATGACTCCCGGGCCAGTACTGCCACTGTCAACACCACATTCAACCAGCACACTTCTACCTGCGAGCAACTCGGCCCTGTCACCATTACATTCCCTTTCTGAATCACAAGTGCCAAAACCCTAGGGGATATACCAGGCCATCAGCACCAATCAAATCCACGGAAACACCCAGAACCAGACTCAGGAGTCTCAGGTTAAGGAACAAAATAAAAATGAAACCTACAGTTGGTGGAGAGAGAAAGGAAGGTGGCCAAAGGAAAGAGGAGTGGGAAGACACTCACAATGTCTTAAAAACATACACATACAGCCATGTGCCCAGTTGGCAACTAATTTCGGCTAGGTTGTCACAAATTATTGTAGGGAACAGATGAGCAATTGCTCAGCAGAGAGAACAAGGCAAGTAGGGATTAAAAAGGATAGCAAAAGCGGCTAACACAGTAGCACTTGTTGCTGAATTTATCAGACCAGGGATCCAGAAGAAAGCTTCTCCGAGGTCAATTGAAGCCCAGGAGAATTCACCCCAAAAAACTCCTGCTATAAACAAGCAAGGGACCACTCTAGCAATGGACCCTACAAGACATGTGCACACAGATGCAGGATCCCTCTTGGGGACCAAATGAGGAACACACATTGCCAGAACCCCCTGCTCTGCCCAAAGCACAGTGGGAAAGTTTTTAGAACAAATCATTTTGGAATTACATACCTCTGTACTCCTCCCAAAACACAATCACTGCGCCAATCCTAGGCCTATGTGCCACACAAAACTAACCTTTAAACAGGGGAAGGATGTGCAGTAAGTAAAAAACTCAACCCCCACAATAGGGCACACATCACCCTTCAGCCCACAGCACCAGGGCAATATTGGCCATCTGGGACTTCCTTAACTACAAAACTCCCAAGGAAGTGCCCCTGGTGACTTGGCACAGGGATTCTGAGACCACCACCCCCCTTCCCCGGACCCTTTTGCACTTCTATCTCCATTAAGTCATTAGGTTGCCTGAATTTCATGAGAAATAAGGAAACTTAAAACGTGACTAATAAAAGTGGGTTGGGAAAGTAAAGCCTGGGACAGAGATGAAATAGGTAGATCTGTTGGGGAAGAAAGGTGAAGAAGGAGATGTACGGGAGAAGGCCCTGAATAATAAAAATAAAGCTGAGGGAGGAGGGGGCGGTCCTGGGAAAAGGAATGCACACTCCAGGTACCACGAGGGATGCAAGTTAGCAGCGGAGATGGCAAATCCTTGGAGTGAAGGTGCAGAAACAACCTCGGTATCAGACTGGAGCTTTAGGGGAGGATAAGAAAGGCCCTTGAGAGGGGGCACAGAGAAGGATGCCACCTTCGGAAGTCACTGGAAAGTAGGATAACCTTAATTTGGAATGGCAAGGTGGGAGGGGGCGAGTTTTAGGCGGGTATCTCACAAGAGAGACATGTAAAGTGGCGAGGAGCAGGGCCATTCCTGGCTAAAAGGCTGCAGCAATAAGGCGAGGGCAGAGGACCCTAGGGCAGGGCGGGGCGGGGGCTCCCTCCTAGTCTGGGAATGCCCAGCCCGGGCTCGCGGGGGAGGAAGGCACCTCCGCCAAAGGGCCCATATCCCCATGTCGGAACTCTTCGGGCAGGAGGGTCTCCGAGGCAAGGCCGGGCCGGTAGAGCGGGGCTTGAGGAGAGGCTGGGGTCTGGGACTCACGCATCAACGTGCTGAAGGCCACGACGCCTAGCAGCCCCTGCAGGAAGATGCCGAAACTGTGCATGAGCGCGCCGCTCTCGCAGCGGCCCGCCCCGGACGCGACCGTGGAGGGCGGGCCGCCCGGCAGCCCGCGGCTCAGGTTCCCGGCCGGGCCCTGCATGGCGGCCTGGCGGGAGGGCGCGGTGCCGCCCCGCCCCGCCTTGCCTCGCTTAGCCGCTGCCGGGGGTCGCGCCACCGAGCCCGGAGCCCGAACGGCGAGCCGGTACCTCCGCCGGCGGCCCACTCGGCGCGGCGCGTAACCCGACGTCTGAGATCGCAGCGCCCGATTGGCGCGGCCCGGCGTGGGGGCGGGCCCCGGCGCCTTAGCTCTCCCAGGGGGCGGGGCACCGACCCGGCAAGGGGGGCGGGGCCGTGGCTCCCACTCGACAGGTAGACCAGGTGAGCCAGGCTGCTCAGACAGGAATGAGGGCCAGGGACCTCAAGCTCCAACACGCGAGGGCAGTAGGAGGGACAGCCAGTGATTAAATTCCTTCTCCCTCTAAGGTAAATCCCTTATACGCTGAAGAACTGATTAAAAATGCTCTTGGATTCCGCAGAGATTCCGATTCACTACTTCAAGGGTGGGGCCCAATAATTTGCAGCTGGATTATTCTGAAGCAGGTGGTTAAGGAAAACAATCTAAGACTGCGCACTGGCATCTTACAAGTCAGACATTGGGTATCCTTTTGGCTTTTGGCTAGGGAATTCGACTCACTAATCAAGGCGCCGAATTGATTCTCCCCGCTCCCCGCCCCCGACTTTTTTTTTGGAGACGGGGTCTCGCTGAGTTGTCCAGACTGGTCTCGAATTCCTGGGCTCAGGAGACCCTTCTGCCTCAGCCTCCCCTAGTAGTTGGCCAGCGTATTGCACCTCACTACCCATAAACAATTTAAATGGTCATTTCAGTCTAATCGCTTTCATTATGAAATATACTGGGTTTAGACTGACAACTCAATGTGCATATATTCCTGCTTTGTTCACTTAGGAGGTGCAACTATATATTGAATTTTTTTTTTTTTTGTGGCACTGGGGTTTGAACTCAGTCCACATACTTGCTAGGTAGGCGCTCTGCCACATGACCCACTCCGCCAGCCAATGTGATTTTTTTTTTAATGAGCGGAACAATCAATATCTGCCCATCTCCAACATCACCCTGTGCCATACACACAGACTCCCACCTAACTCTGACTTCTTGGAACCTGTTTTCTGCCTCCACTAGATCCCCTGGACCCTCCTGCTTCGCTCTAGACCTCTCTTGGTGCTCCAGAGCCCCTGACCTTCCTGCTGAATGTCAGTGGTACAAATTCAGTTGATACTAAGCTACATTTGTTGGACAGTAAATACTATCTCTAGGGGAAATTTTCCCTATAAAGTTGCCCCTCCAAAATTATAATTACACAAGAGTTATATACTATCCAAAAGGTTTCTTGGTTAACTAGAATACTGATTATTCAGAGAACAAAAATGCAGTGCTCTAGCTTTTCTCTTACAATACACTCACACCTCTGTGCCTTTATGCAGCATTCTAGCTGTATGGATGTTGTTCCCTTTTCCTTGCTCCATGAAGAGAGTCATGCATCAAGACCCACCTGACTTCCCTCTTCCCACTGTGCTCCTGCATTTTCTTGTGTATGCTGTTCTACGAGAAATTTTCAGAGTGCTAAATTACACAGCTATAGACATGTCTCTCCTACAGCTGAGTGACAGCCTCTTAATCTGGGTTTTTATTCACTCTTGAGACCAACACAGTGTCTGGCACAGAGAACATACAACAAAATATTTTTTAATTTAAGCCAAATTTTAATTTCTAAATTAAAAAACTCCCCACGGCTACTGACCATGAGCAAATACAGAAAATCAGGTTAAGAAAATAAATAGGGGAAATTTTAAATTGCATTACGGCCTTCAAGTCCCAGAGTGATCTTCTGAGAATGCTAAGTTAACAGTTCATATTCAAAGAGAACCAAAGAAGATGATATATCTTAAAGCAGAGGGAACTGTGATTGAAAATAAGGAAACTATTAATTGCTTGAAGACACAGACACATCAAGGAAAATTGCACACGGGGCTGAAAAATGGAAGTTTTGAACAAAGCACTGCTCTGCACATCCAGATCTGGATGAATCCTTAAGCCCTGTAGAGAACAAGAAGCATTCTTCAGAGTTCAGGTGCAGAATCTCCAATGCCAGGAGCAAAGTCACTGGGGAATTCTGCTCTTCCTATCTCTCCTGAACTGAAACGAAAATGTCTCTAAATTCAAAGGGCAAAGGATAAGATAGTAAGAAGGAAGAATTCTGGAATTTTATTATAGTAGGAAGGAACTTTCTCATCCATTTAGGAATGATTCTCTGAGATCCCAATGAAGGTTTGAAGAGTGTACTCTGGCCGAAATGCCTTCCTTTCTGTCAAATCAATGCAAATTAAATTAAACATAACTGAATACTTTTCTCACAACCACTTAAAACTTGTCATATCACAAGTTTAATACAAACTTATTTATCAAAAAACCCATACAAATATTCATTAAAATTAGTTTTGTTTTTAATCCTTTGAAGTTGTACCATCAAACTTGATGGGAGTTATTTTAATGAGTATTCTTGTGCGAATTTCTCCTGAAGTGTACTTCATCTTCAATGCATAATTTTTTAAATTAAGAGGGATAATAGCAAGCAAGAAGGATACAATGCAATAAAGCATTTTGTTTTGTTCCAAACAGCTTAAAAGAAGGCAAAATACATTAAACAAAGTGCATCAGTTCCAAGGAGTTAGTATTAGAAACAGGCCTAAGGACAGTACTGGAACCAGCCAGGCATCTTTCCCTTGCAGGCCTCTGATTGTCTTGAGAGTATTCAACCAAAAAGTTAGGAGAGAAAAAGAAATCAGCACTTAAAATCTCAAGAGAAGCATTCAAACTATCTTCTCCAGAGATTCTTGCAAAAGGAGTGAAGGGACCACTCAGTTTTAACTATGCACAAGCTTTATAACCCCTTATCTGCTTTGTGACTTGATTAGCCCCCAAAGCTTACCCACAACCTTTCAACACTATGTGATCACTTCCACTCTTTCAAGCTAGGGATGTAGTTAGATTGAATGAACCATGTAGAAACCATTAGACCTGATCTTCCACACATCTTGAGAACAGGAATCCTCATCCCCATCAGCAACTGAGACATCAGTTCACTACTCAGCGTATCTTTTGCCTCCCATGGCTCAGGTCATTCTTTACTGCTGGTGTTGGAAGTCTTGTCCAGCAAGGCTGTGGCTTGCTTGTTCCCCTTTCACACCAATTCTTCATGATAGGCCACAGCGCCAAGATAGACCAGTCAGAAAAGGAATTAAGGGGAGAGTTTTAGGCCTACTTCACCTTTCCCCAAACCTCTACTTCTGGTTTTGCCAGTTATTGTGAAAATCTGGCATCTTAAACATTGTAGCCAAGAAAATCAATCTGCACTGCATTTAATGCCCACTAATTTCTATACCTCATCCCCAAAGCTGCCCCCAGAAATAAGGCTACCTGTGTGCTAGGGGACAAGTAATGAGGAAAACACCCCAAGTGAGTGGACTTGGAACCTGATCTCTTTGGACTGGGCTTTGAGTTTAGAACTCTTATATGAAAATTCCAAGTCAACATGCAGCTTATGAATAAATTCAGATTTCCAAAGCATACACATTCTCATTCAAAGGAGTCATCAAAATTCACTAGTAAAACATTTAAAGCCAAGGAAGAATTATAATGGTAGGAAAGTGACTTATTTCTTTTGGTTTTGCAGGAGGCTCTCTGTTCTACAGAGTTTCTGTGCCAGCACCATGGCTGGTTACTTACAGTGGACCTAGGATCAAAGACATTCATTTTTTAAAAAAGGGAGTACCTGGCTCCCACTAAGTTTTATACTTCATTTCTGTTAGTGATGCCTTTTTCTTTACCTTCATAAGGCCAACACATTTTTGATAAAATAGAACACTTTTTTGAACTTGCATGCATGTGTGGACACATAGAACATTCCTAATACATAGGACAAGTTCAATTCCATTGTGTGCTTCTGCTGTTGAGGTTAAGCAGCTAACAAATCTCTCGGAGCTTCTGTGAGAATCAAACCATGAAAGGGTGTCTTAAATCTAAGTCTTTGGTTATAGGTGCCGAGTAAATATAAGTGCCATTGACAGTTTTCACAATATCCCTAACAAGAGTCCCTGATGTTTCATATCCCTTGGAAATAGTATTGGTTTGAGAGAAGAATGGTTCTGAGTCCTACCCAACATAAGGCTCTCAGAGCTTTTGGACTGTATTCAGGTATCATATTAGTGAATGAACTGATCCTAGAGAGCAAGTAAAATGTATTCAAGTCCTCAGGAAGCTTTGGTCCAATGCCCTCTCTCTCTCACAGTGGGAAGAGTTTTACTTCTGAGAGAAGAGACATATAAAGGTCAAGTTCTGAACTGTTTTTCTACACCTGCTTCTATCATAGTTACATAAATACTTACCAAGAAGATAATTTTTTCCAGAGGGTGGTTAAGTACCTTTCCCTGACCTCATAAATCTAAATTGTAGATGCTACGAGCCACCTACATTGCTAAAGATAGGATTAAAAAAAAAGCCCCCATTAATACATTTCCTGCATTAGCCATTTCAAACTGTGCTTCAAATGAGAATGATGAAGATGGTTTGCAAAGGAAAATAGCATTGTTACCAGAAGCCCACAAAATATAGTCAAAATGTCAGAACAAACCTGCATGATCAGTAAAAGGTTTACCTAGTGTACTGAAATAGCAGTAACAGTTTAATATTGCTCAGTTAACTTTTCAGGTCCAGGAGGATGATACAGTCCATTAACCTGTTTCTAAGCTTGTCAATCCAGGGTGAAAATGATCATGAAAAAACTTCTGACCTCAAGCAGGCTACAGGACCAACTGTGGGTAAAATCTAGACAATACAGTCTACTTATAATATACTTCTCATAAATTAAAGATGTTGGTCTCTTCCAAAAACAAAGTCCATACACATATATGTGCAACATACAAACGTTTTACCCCAACATGGTAAAATGCTATTATCATGCTTACAATGTTTTAACATCACAGTAATTGGACCCAGCAGCTTTAGGAAGTAAGTGGAATTCAAATTTTATATTTAGAAAATGTCCTGTGCCAAATTCTCAAATATTTTCTTGTATGTAGTATCTAGTAGTAGCAGCTTGGGGAATATAATTAATGCGACT